GTTTGTGGTGGGGCTGACTGAATGAGAATCCTGAGGGACATGCAGAGCCTGATAATCACATGATTTTTCGTTTAGAGATTCTTTCCTAAAAAGAAATCTGAGCTTTGGTGTATCTTTATTTCAAATCTAAATTTCAGACTAGCAGAATGTAAATTACTTTTTTTCCTTTAAAATATAAAAAGATGAAAGCAATACTTTTTAGAGCAAAATATGATTTTTTTCCTGTTAAAACTTATTCACCCATTCATTCATTCAGTTATTCACCCATTTGGAAAACAAGGTAGATAGAGAAAGAAATAATAAATGTGATTAAATTATATAGGATCATGGAAAATGATATGTGCTACATGAAAAAAGAAAGTAGAGCGGGACAAGGGAAATAAGGAGTGCAGGATGTTACAGGACAAAGTGGGAGGACTGCAACTTTAAATAAGGCTGCATGGTTGGTTGACCTCATTTGAACAAAGACTTGAATAATACAGGCAATTGTATGATTCCTACTGGCCAAGGAAATAGCTAATGCAAGGGCCCTAAGGCAGGAGCTACAATCAAACAACACAGGAAGGCTTGTAGCCTAGAGAGGCCCAATCAACTAGCCCAGCTGGTGTAGTCCAGTGGGTTGAGCTTTGTCCATTGGACCAAGACATCCTGGGTTCGATTTCTGGTGAGAAATTGATTTCTGGTCAGGGCACATGCCCGGGTTGTGGGCTCAATCCCCAGTAGGGGGATGTTTCTATCTCTCTCCTCCCTTCCGCTCTGAAATCAATAAAATACACACACACACACACACACACACACACACACACACACATACACACACACACATATATATATTAAAATGACAGGTCAACTAGTTTGAGGAGAGCCTTGTAGGTTTCACTGTGAGCATCTTTAACTTTTACTGTGAAGAAAATGGAGTCAATGCCTCCCTATTGTCTGACTAGATCCCCTTTTCTCCCAACCCCTTCTAATTGTATTTTATTTTTTAGGGCAATTTTTTTCCTTTTTATTAAATTTATTGGGGTGACACTGGTTAACAAAGTTAATACAGATTTCAGGTGCACAATTCTACAATATATCATCTGTACACTGTATTGTGTTCACCACCCCAAGTCTCTATCCATCACCATTTATCCCCTTTACCCTCCTCCATCTCCTCCCCGACCCCAACTATATTAAATTCTTTTTAAGCCCTAGCCAGTTTGGCTCAGTGGATAGAGTGTCAGCCTGAGGACTGAAGGGTCCCAGGTTTGATCCCAGTCAAGGGCATATGCCCGGGTAGTGGGGCTTGATCCCCAGTCAGGGGAGGGCAGGAGGCAGCCAATCAATGATTTTCTCTCATCACTGATGTTTCTATCTCTCTCTCCCTCTTCCTTCCTCCCTGAAATCTATTAAAAATATATTTTAAGAAATATATTTTTTGGATATGATGTAGTATGTCTTAACCTTAACAATAGCTCCTTATTTTAAAAAAAAAAAAGGTAGCCGAAACCGGTTTGGCTCAGTGGATAGAACGTCGGCCTGCGGACTGAAGGGTCCCGGGTTCGATTCCGGTCAAGGGCATGTACCTGGGTTGCGGGCACATCCCCGGTGGGAGATGTGCAGGAGG